TATATATATATATATATATATAGTGCCTTAAATAAATTGGCCTGAAGTTTTTTTAAATATAAGCCCGGTTTATTTAATTAATTAAATTTTTTAAAAAATTTAAATTTTTACTAAATAGGCTTAAATCATAGGCTCAAGTGTGATGACTTGGCCTACTTTCATTCATACTCAAGATTTTTTTTTTCTCAATCTTAATTCAAGTCTGCAACTCCAATATAAAATTACAGCTAAACTAAAATAATTAAATCCAAAAATAAAAAATAAAAGACCCAAATAAAAAGGAGTCAAATTAAATAAAAATAATATAAACATGTGACATATGAAACCTAAAAACAAAAAACACACATTCAAAACAATATAAAAATGAATGAGATACAAGTTTAAACTTAAAAAAAAAAAAATCAATATAGGTCATAGGTAATATAAAGTTAGTTAGATTTTCTGAAAAATTAGATAATAAAATCCTGCATAATGGATTAATAACAAGTAGAAAAATATATCGAAATAAAAGAATAAATCTAAATAGTTAAAATTTTAAAAATAAATTAATGTGTTCTCAATCTTAAATGAGGTTGACACCCATTCTTGGATAAGATAGAATTTGACACTTAATAGATTTGATTTCTAACAAGCACCATCACAAAAATTATGCGTTTTATGGAATTCAAACGTGGACAAAAATAGGTCCTCCTCCACTATTTCATATTAGCACCAATTTTTTTGTGAGTGAAATCTTTGATACCATTTCATAAATTATCTATGAATATTAAATAACCAATTTATCTTTAACAAGTCCACTGGTAAATCCCAAATCATCGTCACACTAAATTTTAAGTATAATAATATTAAATATATTTTATATTAAAATAAAACTAATTTTAATTAATAAATAACGCAAACAGTGATTAAAGAATAATATATAATTAGTTTGATGATTTACTATATCTGCACAATGAGGGAACTAAACCTCAGATGGATGAAGACCCACATATAAAAGCTGGTTTTTATATTTGTTGTCATCATCTTTTTGTGTTCCTTTTTATCATGTTGGTTATAATACGGTGAAGTTGAAGCAGAGTACCACTCAAAAGAAAGAGGAAAAAATGTTGGGTGGAAGCTTTTTATCCATCTAGCATGTAATAATATAATCTTTTGAAGGGGGCACGCAGGAGAAAGGCTTAATGGCATGCACTCAGAAGCCAACTAATTTAGTGGTCCTGTGTTCCAAATGTGAATGATCTTTGACTTTTTTTCTTTTGGGGCCTAGGCCAACCCTGTTCCTCCGTTCCAAACATTGTCTTATAGAAGATGAACACAATGGCAACATAGCACTGTGAAAGCGAAATAACATAAGAAAAACGGGCAAGTGAGGCCAATCTTCTTGCAAAACCAGTTGTGTGGTTGTGACCTTTCAGCTTTTTGCAATGATATGTGACCAGAGTTTCACATTTTCACGGTTTGCTCACTGCAATTCTGCAAACAGCAACAGCCGTGTAGAACTTGTAAGCGTAGATAAGAAGATGCAAACATTAAAGCTAAGAGGGGGTTCCATTCTCCAGCATTTTAATTCAAATATGTTGCACAGAAGTTGAAAATTTATATCTTGTAACTAGAAGTATATAACTTATTCAAATAGAATTGTTTGGTAAAATTAATTGTATAATTAATTAAAATATATTTAACAATTTGATTTTAATATTACTGAATCTTGATGGAATTAAATTCGAATTTAAAAAAGATCTATTAAAATTTTTGAATAAAATAAATATAACTTTATCCCATGTACAAAAAATGGGTTCAGTAGTAAACAAGTCTTTTTATTCTAGCGTCGTATTCAATGTGTCGATTGTCTTGTACCTTTAACATTCTTTTTGCCAAAGTCCAAACAATGTAGGAGACGAGGGTTGAACCTTTATCATGTAAATCAATATCATTGGGGAATGTGATTTTTTACTATTATTTTATCTTTGTTGACTATGATTTCTGAACTTAACAGGAGATCAAAACGTCGATCTTCGTGATGTATATAATATTTTTTCGTTTTTTTAAAATTTCTTTTATGGTCTAGTAATTATATATTTTTTTATCATTGATAATTATTTAGTAGAAGATAATAAATAAAAAATTAATTAATATAATAGATAAATAGTACAATAAAAGTTAAAATGTGAATATTTTCTCTTTTTTTCCAAAACTATAAATGTTAAAAAAAAGGAATAAATTCTTCATGTCAAAGTAAAAAAACCGAGTTATGAATCGTGATCTTGTGATTTTGATTAATATTATTAGTTAGAGAAATTATTATTATTTGACAGAAGTTACATAGTTCCACATGAAATGACACTAGACCAATATGATTGTCTTTTTCCCCAAATAAATTGAGATAAATATTTAACGTAAGAGAAACGTTAATAATACATTCCTTTGAGAAAAATAAGTGTAAACACTAAACAAAGACATCCTATCAAATGCATTAACTTTAATACACCCAAAAAAAAATGCATTAAGTTTAATCAAATATAAGCATAGTATTATTACATTCAATTTTGTCCCTAAAACTTATAAACTGTAGAATTATTTCTCCTACCTAGCTTGCAAAATGGAACAAAGCCATCATAGTAGAAGCCTAATTTAACCTTTTTCGATTATATTGAGTGAAAAAAGGTAATTCTCCATCGAAGTGTTTAAAATTAAAGAAAACACTAATATGAAAAGTTAACATCATAATTGAGGTGTGTATAACTAGTCTAGTTTGATTATATAATATACAGATTAAAAGTATTAAAAAATGATCATGTCTTTATAAATTAACTTTAATATTTAAATTTTTTAGATACTAAAAAAGTTATTTTCTTTTATAGATCAATTTGAATTTCTAATCATGTAATTTTGAAGTTTTAGACAGACCCATTTACATTTTGTGAGTAAATTTTGTGAACTGCGAAGTTCAGGTGAACTGCATTGTATAGGATACAAATTCTTAGGTGTGTGGCAGGGAAGAAAGCAAAGGATTAATTGATGAGTTGCATGTGTTGGGTTTACGAAGATGACAAAGAAAGCACGCGTACTATATTTTTTTATTCTTGAATTTGATGAGCTTAGTTTGCAAATGCCAAAGTGGGCACCAACCACACACACAACTCACCATCCTTCTATGCAAACCAAGAAAGCTCCTCCTCGTGCCTCGTGGAGGGTGCTCTGTCTGCTTCCTGCGCATGTTAGCCACACAATAATAATAATGTTAATATACAATTACTTTTTTGTGTCAATCATTTAAATACGAATAATAATAATAATAAATATCCTTTCCTAAAAAGATGGTTAATCTGTGAAACAAGTGAATCCCTTTGAGGAGAAGTTAAGTATTGATACTTTGTGTACATGCTGCGTTAGATTCCATGAATTTTTTAACGTTATCGACGTTTCTCTTACAACTTCAAAACCTTCTGTACAGTAAATTAAAGAATTTCCCTTTTAACGTACACAGTGTGTAAGTATCAATTGATACTTACATTAGTTGGTACTTTAGTTGCCTTGTTTCCTTTTGTCGAGGGCATTATCAATCTTCAAATTTATGGTCACTTTTTCAGGTCAATAATGGAGCTTAAACTAAACCAAATAAATAAAATAAGGAAATAAAATCATACATGTTACTTTCAGGACAACTAAAATATACTGTTTTTATAGTGGCGTTAAATATGAAAGAGAAGTGCCAACAATTCAGTGTGTATTTTGATACAGAAAAGACACCATACGTGACATGTATCTCTCATATCATGTGAAGCTATTTAAGTGGAAGTCTGAAACACCCTCTTCCTCCCTATTCATGGAGTGTATTTATTACCGAGTTGGCATGTGGCAAAATGTAACATACATGAAATTCAAGAGAGCTAACCATTGATTTCAGGAGGAAAAAACCATCATTGAATAGAAGTAAAATGCGATTACTCTTCTCTAAGTTTAAGACTTGAGAACAAAAGCACCATTTACAAATGAGAAATTGTTTTTGTACAATAAAATTATATAAAAATATATACAATTATAAAAAGTATAGAAAGAGTAGAGGAAAAAAGTATATAAATCAAAGTAGATGGTGTAATATATAAATTTTATAACTTGCTATGATTTTCTTTCTTTCTTTTTTCTTCTGAAAGGAATTAGTGAATTACAAGAGGTTTTGAATTTAGAATACGAATAAGTATTACTATATATAAGAGGTGCATTTATTTTAATCAAAGGTGACTTGTCACTCACTGATCAATTAGTTATGTAAATTAAAAATATATCACTTAATTTTTTATTTAATAAAATCTACTTTAATTATTAATAATAAAAAATTATTAATAATAGGTGGTACTTTTTGTTATAAATTTTTTTAATATCAAATTTCTCTTGTATAATAATATATAATCATTAAACCAAATAAAATATTATATTTTATAATTTGTTTTTAATATAAAAAAATTTAAATAGAAGAGATAACTAAGCAAATGAGAAAAAAATATGATAAAGGATAAAGATTTTAATTGTTTAATAGGTAATTTTTTTAAATGTGATAAATAATTTTTTATAAAATGTAAAAGATAAAAATAATAACAATATTAATAATTAATTTTTGAAAGTTAAATATTTAGATGCTTTTAAAAAGTCAACTTTTAAAAGCTACAAGCTTATTTTTATATTTAAACACAATCTTAAACTAATATTTATCAATAATTATTTTCTTATGCAAATCACGGTCTCCCTCAAAAAAATAATAATAGAAAAGGAAAAGTCTCAAAATACAAAAAAAAATTATTTTGATTATTTTAGTTTTCACTTATGTTAACAAGTATTTTAGAAAATTAAAGAGAATCCTTACGTAAATAATATGTGAAACATAAAAATTAAGAACATTATATTTTTATTTATCATTTTAATTTTATCCCATAAAGAACCCTTGCTATATTCCCTAGTTCAGCTACCCCTACTGAGAGAAAGTGCAAGTGAAAGTGAAGTGCACAATGCAAATGCAGTTGCAGGAAATCAGTTAAAACGTATTTAATTTTCACAACCTCCAACTCCAACAACTTCCCCAATATTCTTAACTTTCATCCTCTTCTTTCTTCAACCTCAAACCCTAGAAACAGCAAAATCACATTTTGATGCAAATGGGATCAACCCCACAACTCTAGAGCCATACCCAGCAAGATTTAGCTCATACCCACCTCAATGATGGCCTTTTTCTCCACTTCCCGCCTCTTCACAACCCTAACCTTCCTTTTCTTGTTCCTCAAAATCCAAGCTTTTGCTCCAATTTCTTCCTTTTCCTTCACAGATTTTGAAAAAGATCCAAAATTTAAGTCAAGTGTGGGACTTTACGGCAATGCAAAAGCTGTCAGTGGCGGTTCTGAAGTTCTTCTTTCTGGAAATGGTGGTTCAGGTAGTGGGAGAGTCATGTACAAGAAACCCATCAAGCTTGTTCATGGTGAAGCAAGGGAATTAGTTTCATTTTCAACCTACTTTGCATTTTCGATCTCGTTGGATAGTGGGAATGGCTTGGCTTTGGTTATGGTTCCAAGTGGTATTGAAGGTGAGGTTTTTGGTAATAATTCATATGGTTTTTCTTTTGGATTGAAGAAAAGGGAATTTAAGGTTATTGGTGTTCAGTTTAGTGCTTTAAGGGATGGTAGAAATGGCGGTTCTGCTAGTTGTAATGTGGCCATTAATGTTGGTAGTAATGTTCCTATTAAAGCAATCAATACCTCCTCAGTGAATTTGGGTCTAAAACTGCATGCTTGGATTGATTATGAAGCAAGTTCAAAGCGCTTAGAAGTTAGGTTGAGTCAGTTTGGTAAACCAAGGCCATCTGATCCATTGCTTTGGCATTCAATTGACTTTTCAAATGTGTGGGAAACTGAAGAGATGTTTGTAGGCTTTAGTCCTTTGAAGGGGAATACTTCCCAAGCATGCTTTCTTTATTCATGGAGCTTTATTGTAAGGCATTTTCCACATTGGATGCATTCCGAGCCTCTGAATCCAAAGGTCGTCGCTAAGAACACTGAAACTCCAGCAGTGAAATCAAGGAGTGATTGCCTTTTGAGAGTTCTTGCTGCAATGATATTTGGTGCTGGATGTGGAGCATTGACAGCATTCACTGTGCTTTATTTGTGGACCATCTTTGGTAATAAACGTCCAGTGGTGCCGGAGGAGTATGTGATGCAGCCTGTAGATTTTGAGTACAAGAAAGTGAACATTGTTGTAGATAAAACCGTCAAAGATGCTAAGGAGTAGATCTACAAGAGGGAACTAGTTGGATGCTTGTGTTGTAAATCAGTGTTTCTTGTATTCAGGTTTTGCTTTGTTGTAGTTTGGTAAAGAACTATTTAATTTACTTTTCCTTATGTTGTTGTCTATTTTTTGAGCAAAATGAGATTAATATCTAACTCTGTATTAAGGATAAGAATTTCATGGCTTTTTTTTTACTGAATCATGACCAAATGTTCAAATCTTTGATATTTATTTATTATATGATGTTGCTGACAAAGGTTTTATTTGTATGGTGATGGCAAATAACCATAATCAGTCTGTATATTGAATTTTGATTGGCTAATAGTAACAGTGTAATATCTGCTTGATACTTGTGTCACACTACTGTGTGTGGCTCCAATAAAAGAAAGAAAATATATTGAGGTTGATAGTGTATTGGTACCTCATATTAATATACCATAATATCCTCATCGTTTGTTTTTTTTTTTAAGTGTAGATGTGGATGGTTGTGATTATCTCAGCATAATAAAGTTGGAATTATTCTGTAACTCCTCCCTTTTCTTTTTTATTTAATAATATTATTATTTCCCATCATATTAAGATTTGGCTACGTCTTCATTTCAGTCCAGTTTTCTTAAATGACAGCAACATTTCTCTCTTTTCCTTATTGATCTTTCTTCTGTGAAATTAAATTTTAGAGGTAACAGAAACTTGCAGCTGTCTCATTGAAAGGAACTTTGATTTGCTTTCGCACCCTGCTACCTTTCATTGATATTCTAGCACTTAATGCTGCATAAGTTAGTTGGTTTATACTTTTAGGCACCTTTCAATCATGTGCCTGGCTCTCTGCATTCAGCTTGCAACGTTTTTGTAATAAAGAGATCAAGCACCCTGATATGTGCAACTGCTGCAGATACTTCTATTAATGACAAACTTTATGTAGTTTACTTGTGGAAAAATATCAAGCATTTTCTTACCTTAAGATAGTTTAGAGAATTCTTAGGGCTTAGCTGAGCCTGTGCACACCATTTGCTTTGTATACTTACAGAAGAATAATTGAATCTGCTTTTGGTGATGCTCTTGTTGAGGCCAGTTCTTGTAAATTCTATAATTTGAAGGAAAATGTTAGCTTCAGCTTTCAGGCCAATTTTAAAGAACTAAATAATAGTAAAATTTTATTTAAAAAATAAGTATTTATTATACTTTTATTACTTCAATGTACTAAATGTATTTTTTTTATAAAAATTTACTACTTTTAAATGCTTAAATTTATCTGTAAGAATTGAAGTAAATAAAATCTTTAACTTTAAAATGACTAAAAGTTGTTTTGGATACAATAATAAATTCAAAAACCTTTTCTCCTGCCAGGTGAGATTGGTTACACGATTATTATTATTGATTATATAGTTCTTTGCAATAACATTTACTAGGTATGTTTTTGTTTCGCATGATTTGATCTTGTGGGTTAATTGCAGACAATAATAACCTAACATTTTCCGCTGGTAAATTAATGGCAATGGAAATAGGTTTTCATATGGCTGCATTTATGATTATAATTTGTCTATAAGATGAACCTTTCAAAGCCTAAAGTAAAGCTCTGAGCCTTGTTTGTGTTTGGTTTAAATATTGAAGTTCGTTTCTTGTTCCTCTGTCAAGCATTTATAGTACTTTTAGATATTCGGAAATTGTGCTTCCAAATGTGTAACTTCTGCTTAAGTTTTCTCAAATAATCTGAGTCATGTGACACTGCCTGCTATAGTTGTGTAGGTAGAGAAATTTATTTTGCTTATCATGAAACTCATTGGAATAAGTTGAAGAGAGTTTATTTTAATGAGAACTTATGAGAGATAAATTTTCTCTAAGCTCTTCCAAACGTAGCTTTTTGTTTGAAGGTTAGATTTCCATATGCTACTTAGAAAATTTGTGTGAGAAGTGATATTTTAATAATCCCTTTTCTTATTCCTAAACTCCTAAAGCTGCTTAGGTTTAGGGGGCTTTGGCAAATCTTCTTGCTTGTATTTTACTTCACTTAATTCTCCCCTTTTCTTTACCACGTTGAAAATAAAAACGTTGCTTATTATTATTAGTGTCATTATTGTTATTTTGTAATGAAAAAAAAATGCTTAGTGCAAGGCGATCTTTGTTGTTAATGGAATCTGAACAATTTGAGATAGTTTTTATAGTTGATTAAGCAGAAACAATTCACTGCATGTGGCAAATCAAGATACACACAGCCCATGAGCTTGTCAATATTTGGAAAAAAGTTGGCAGACATTTTCATTCCTGCTCCAGTGGCTCTTTCCATGATATACATAAAGATCACTAACGTGACAAAGAAAGAAAAAAGCAGTGTATGATAGCCAATTGCTGCCATATAAGTTGTCAACATAGCATCAGATGCACGTTCTGATGTTTTAGGCTTTTAGCTATCTTGTAACGTGTTCCTCATCTGTGTTATGGAAGATTCATTACTTGTTTCTTTCAAGCCATTTTTTTTCTTTGGAGTTTGACCAAATTCATGTTCAAATATCTTCTATTATCAGCAGTAACATTAGGAATGAGGAAAAGAAAAAATATCAGTTTATAGTTAGATACGATTAAATTGTTATTATCATATAGTTAGATGTTAAGCTCAGTTTTGAATTGGTGCAATGGGAACACCATTGTTTCGTTACCACTATAATGTCATACAGTGGAGACTGTTTTCAGTGTTATGTTTCTCTCACGTATTTCATCCTCTTTACTAACCCTTTTATTTTCCTTTTACTTTTGTTAACTCTCTTTTTTGCACAATTTTTTTAAATAAATATCTTATAGGTATAGCTCTGAAAAAAAATTAAAAAAAAATTATTCTTGCATTAATATGGTTATTGTGGAAAAGAATGTTACAGTTATGAGAAAAAATAAATTAGAGTAGTGATTTACCTGCAGAGGCAGAAAAGATTTCGTGAAGGAATGATTTTTTCCCTGCTATCTATCTTCCCCATGCTTGATTATACTGACGTAGGCTTCGCAAGAATTCAACGGATTTTTTTTATCATTATCATATATTTGTTACCTTGCTAATATACGTTTACTTGAATTCGAATTTTATCATTGAATTGCAAAATGTTTTTATAGGCCATCAAATTTTCTACAGGTCAAATCAATATCAATACTTCATGCAAATAGCAATGGTCAAATTAAATTATTTACAACGTAAAAAAGTGTCTGTTTGCCTGAATCTTTGCTTTTTCCTCCAATCTTTGTTTGCGGAATGAGGGAGCTGATGTCCATCACAAGCACAACGATGCTACAGCTTTAGTGAATAACGATGCAGTTTTTGGTATATGCTTTCAATCTGCCTAGGCATGTTTTGTGAGAAGGAGCATAACATCAATTCCTGCACAACGACGTTACAAGGGGGCTGCACTAACAGGAGCCCCAACTCCTCATGCCTATGTTTAAAGTCTTGGTTTCACGAAGATTGGCCGTAATAAACGATGCCACACCAGTTGATTGTCATGTGTTTTTACTCTCAGATCCAGATCCAATGGATGTGGCTTTTAGTTGCTCCAACTTCTTCCGAAGATAGGCTTGCTTAAGCTTCTCACGATGAGCAGCTACCTGCTCTTGCCTCCGCAGTTTAATTTCCGAAGCCTTTTCTCTTGCCCTATTAGCTTCTTCATGAACTTCCCTACAAATCAAAATAAACAAGGAACTGGATTAACCATGCCAAAAATTAAGACACTGTACACTCATTTCCCGTCACCCCCAAATTAAAAAATAAAATAAAATTGAAAAAAGGAAGCATTCTCGGTTGCCTCCCTCTGACCCTCTGTATCTATCTGAAAAAGTCAGACAGGTCATTTACTTAATTTATTCAGTAAGATCACTTAGAAAGAATAATTACTTCCACATACTCCTATCAAGGTACTACCTTAATATATTTCAGCACTATATTATAATCAACAACATTGTCAATTTAATATAATCAATTCAATAATATAAGACAGTGATATCAGATACCAGCGCTATAATTGCCACCAAAAGCTAGGCTCAATTTATAAGCCCGGAAAGAATTATTGAAAAAAATCCCATTGTCAAAGACCCAAAATTGCAATCTCTATCTTAATCGCTTTGCCTCAAATCTATCCTAGCTATCTAGTCCAAGAACATTGCATATTTGGCAAATAACATGGTCTGAAAGAAAAGGATGAATCCCATACTGAATATTGCGCTTATGCTCTGCCCTGTCTACTTCTCCAGCCATTTGCCTAGGCCCAATAGGTTTTAAAGAAAAAAGCACAGAAGCATCATTATCAGCATCTTCATTTTCTTGCACCACATCATGGATTGATGGTTGCTGTAACTCATCCTGCTCAATGCCCTTGCGGAAAAAGTCTACACAATACTTTTCTTTATCCTCTTCATCAGACAGTTCTCCCTTCGCCAATTTATCATACAACTCAGCCTTTCTCTCCAGTGCAGAATAGCTAGCTGATCCATCATTAACTGCTTTTAACTCAAGTTTGTCCCTGATAGTAAAAGTTGATTAGACATGACAAGGGATAAATGTGTCATTCGCTATTTAAGATGATATCCGCAATAGGTATATAACAAAACATTTCAGGGAACACATTGATTTATAATTTCCTTACATCTGCCATGGCACCATGCTAAATAAATATTAAAGCAAAGCTAAACACCCAGAATCAAAGAAAATAACGAATAAACCAAGTCAAATTCTTCATTAGATTAATCCAAAGGGAAAAAGGTAATACTTGTGAGCGCGGGCATCAACCCCAGAATTCTTGGCAGAGAAGGGATCTTTGGGAGCAATCTTGCTCTTTGCCCGGTGATACTCAACATCAGGGCCTGCCAATTCCCTGGACTTCTTAGAATCTTCTTGAGACTTGTAGAGCTCAGCCTTCAACTCCAGTATGGACGATGCCCCAACACCAGCTATGGCTCGATGCTTCTTTGGCATTATTGATGATTCTGTTAGCCATCCTAGTGATTCTGTCACCACTCTCTTCTTTTCACTCCCCTCCTCCCCAGCCATTATTAGGTTCCCTATCCCCAATTCTGCAATCAATTCAATTTATCAGATACGCAGTTTGGCTCACTAGGTCACATCTATCAGACAGTCTGGGATGCAATTTTAACTATTTTTCAGCCCCTTGTTTTTAAAGGACTATATACTAACAACAATAACATGTCTAAACTGCAATAACAATTCACTATGATCATGACATTATGGTTGTTGCTGTTATTGTTGGTTACTAATTTTATTATTATTATTAAAAGAATCATTTACTGAGCTGGAATATGGAAATAAAATATTGATGACAATAATGTCATTGCAAGTGTATTAGTAAGAATCTTGAAGTTGCGTTGTCCAAAAGATGTTTTAATAAACATTGTATAATGATCACAATGCGTTGGATAACAGTGACAAAACTTGACATTACTATTAGCCAAAGCAAGATCTCAGTCGATTACAGTTATCTTCAGTCCCTTTGAAGGACCTACAGATAGATAACGCAGTTTCTGAATACCGTCATGGATCCCATATATTTCCTAATGTTAAGGCCGAAACACATTAACATCAAATCCAGTGGAGCAAATACAAAAAACATAACGGATAGGTAATAAGTAATAGTATCTTGCCATCATTCCTCGAACTCAAACAGGTAAAAAGTTCCAAGCAAAATGCCCAATTCAAACCTACAGCTAATAAAAACAACCAATATTCAATACCCATTTAAAGCCTGAAGCACTACCAGTGAAAGAAACAAAAACAGATTAAAAAAAAAACAAAACAAATGCTAGATGATAACGAGTTTTTTGAACTTTTACTGGCTTAGATTCTCGTCACAGAGGAATAGACATCCAAGAATAATCAACGGATTGGATCTCAGTAAGTTATGGTTATCTTCAATTCCTTTAGGAAGTTTCAGATAGATAACGCAGTTTGAAATTAACATCACTGATCCATAAATCTAACCAACCATGAAAATAATTATATAGAGATTGGAGAAAGAGCATCTCAGAGTAATCATTCCCCATTAGCTTCTTCACTAGCAATCAAAGTGCAAGGATAACAAATTGGAATTGCTCATCACTGATGCTCGTAAAAAAGAGACGCAAAAATAACCTTTGAGGATGATTGAAATTTGAAAGACGGAACCGTGAGTTTGAACCTCGAATTTGAGTCTTTGAATTTTGAATGAACCGAAGGAAAGGAAGGAGACGAAGTTTCTAGTGTAACATTTCGCGTGCGGCGTGAGCGTTCTGACAATTTAAAGAACCGTGAAGAACCCTAGCAAGGGTTTTGTTTGGAGACTTGGATGCTGTATTCCCTTTTGCAGTTCCACAACCTTAATTTGGATTTATATACACACCGATAAGGTTTATTATTTATTATGATATTTTAAAATTGAACAAAATCTTATAAATGCAAAATAATATAGATACAAGATAATAATATATTTGAGTCAGGTAATAAGTATTTCTATTATTAATAATAAATATTATAAAAAATTGAATTAAATTAAAGAGAAAAACTTTTGACATTTAAAATGATAAAAATAAAGATGTATTGTTTGTATCCATGTGATGGGTTAAAATTTAAACTTAATTAAGATTAATTAAAATTAAATAATTTTAATTTATTTAAAATTAAATAATTTTAATTTATTTAAAATTAAAGTATCTTAAATTTGATATTTATGTATTGAAAGTTAAATTAAAATTAAAATAACAAATATTAGTTGAAAAAGAATATAACTTAATATAAAATAAACTTAATTATGTTTTTGTTCTTCATAAATATAGGTTGTTTTCTGATAAATTCATATAAAGTTATTTTTTGATAAATTCCTATAAATTTTTTTATTAGAATTTAGTTTCTAAAAAATTTAAAATTTTGGATTTAGTCCCTGTTGTTAATCCTTATTCCTTTAGGTGCTGAGTTAGCTAACAAAGAGTCAGGTCAACATTATACGTGTCTTTCTCGACATCTAGTCACTTATTTACCTGGTGCGATGCTTGCTGAGGTGAGTTTAAGATTAAGAAATGAAAAAATAATAAAGGGATAACCTCTGAAAAAGAGATGTAAAAATTCTATAGTGGACCAAACACATATGCAGATGAAGTGAGTAACCTCTGAGTTAAGTACCAAGGGATAATGTAAGGGCAAGGAGGTCACTTTCACGTGTGGGGCTTGATTGAATGAGAGGCTTTCATTGTGCAAGCTGGCATCTGCATCCAAATTGGAAGGTTGTGTGTAAACTATGAAGATTTGTGTCGAAAAGGGAGAGTGTGGAACATGGAGTAAGGTAACGTGTTATTGAAAATCCTATTTTATTGTTCTTGTCCTGAATGTGTTAGTGGGGTAGTTATATAATGAGTTTTCTTTAATTCTCTATCTATATGTTAAATGTTATGGGTAAACTTTTTTTACTTGTATTGTAATAATAGGGATTACTTTAAACTTGGTAATACACTAGAGGGGTAAATTTTTTGACAAACTAAAGGTGAGATATGTAAGAGGAGAAGTGGATGTTGTGAGTAACATTGACATTGATAGATGATCATACTTTGAGTGTTTGGAAACTGTGAGAGACTTTGGGTATAAAGGCAATTTTTTGATATGATGGAAGATGCCTAGTTTTGAGTTTGAAGATGGTTTAAGAGAAATTATATGGGATGATCAAGCTCTGGAAATGGCTAATTATGCCTTGAAGGAGAAATGTGAAGTGCACCTATATGTAGAGCATATAGTTAGAGAACCTAATATAATACTTGAGTTGACAGATGTAGAGGGTGGAGCTGCTGTAATGCCTAATATAGAAGGGTTTAAGGCAAAAGGTGGAGTTGAAAGGATGGTTGATGCAAAGGGGCATAATGTAGAGGGTGAACAAGAATGGATGATTGATGTTGAGGGTGAACTTGAAGGATGAGTGATGTGGAAAGGGGATCTAGGCTTCATTATGGGAAAAATGAGAATATGCCTGAACCTGAGATTGAGTCAGATTTTAGGTCTTTTGAGTGTAACATAGATGAAGAATATCTAAGTGATTAGTTGCAATCTGAGGTTAGTTTAGACAATGACAGTCCTCACTATGAAGCATTTCAACCTAAAAACATGTAGAAAGATTTTGAGTTCCATCTCGGAATGAATATATTTCAATAAAGCAATTTAAGGATGTAATTATGGAACACTTTATTTTGAATATTACATTTATAAAGAATGATGACAGCAGATGCAGGGTTAGGTGTCATAGTTCAAGTTATGAATGGTTGGCATTTGTTAGCAAAGTTAAGACCACAAGCTCTTATAGGTTAAAGACCTATGTTTCAAAACATACTTGTGTAAGGATATTTGACAATAAGAATGTCAATGCAAGATGGATGACAAAGGTTATTGTGGACAAATTGAAAATAAATAACAAAATGACATTGAATGACATCATAAGTGAGATAAGAAATAGTTATGCAATGGACATTTTTAAATGGACAACTTTTAATGCAAGAAAAATGGCTTTGAATGCAATAGATGGAGAAGTAACAAAGCAGTATACATTTTGTGGAGTTATAGTGTAGAACTAAAGAGAGTTAACCAAAGAAATTCTTATAAGATAGGATTGGTTATACTAGAACCCACATTACAACCAAAGTTTGGTAGCTTTTACATGTGTTTGAATGAGTGTAAAAGAGGGTTTATTTATGGTTGTAGACCATTCATTCGTGTGGATAACTCTCATATAAAGATCAAGTATGGTGGGCAACTTCTAGTTGCAATAACAAGGGATGCAAATGATCAATATTTTTCACTTGCAATGGCTATGGTAGAAATAAAGACAAAGGAGACTTGGAGATAATTTTTGACTTTGCTATTAGAGGACATTAAGGACCAATCTACTAACAGATATGTCTTTATTTCTGACCAACAAAAGGCAAGTTTAATTATTTCCTTGTTTATAAGTTACGTACAAAATATGACAGGGACTAAATACTAAATTATATAATTTTGTAAGAACTATATCCTAACATTGTAAATTTTTTTTTTGTAGGGTTTGACTCAGGTTTTTGAGGAGCTGTTACTGGATGTAGAACACATATATTGTATTAGACACTTATACATTAACCTTAAAAAGAAGTTTGAAAGGGGTGCATTATTAAAAGAGTTGATGATGAAGGCATCTAAAGCAACTTATCAAGAAGCTTGGGAGGAGAAAATGAGCCAAATCAAAGATATGGATTGTAAGGCCTAAGAGTGGTTGTCTGCAATCTCCAAAGAAAGTTGGTCTAAACATTGTTTTAATTTATACCCTAGGTATGATGTAAATATGAATAACTTATGTGAAGCTTTCAACAACACCATTTTGCTAGCTAGAGAAAAACCTATTTTGAATATGTTAAAGTGGATTAGGTTGTACTTAGTGCAAATTGATTTTCTATATGGGTTGGGGAGTTAAAATTTGAGGTCACATACTCTTTATTTACACAAAAATTTGTTGTTGACCTCCACACAAATAACTATTCATGTAACTTTTGGAGTTTAGTTGACAATCCATGTAGATATACTTGTGCTGCAATCTCCTATAAGGGGGATAACCCAGTGGATTATGTTCACCAATATTACAATAAGCAAGCTTATATGAGATGTTATAACCATGTTATTAGGTCAATAACAAGTCAAGACAGATGGCCACAAATACAAGAGGATGTCATTTTGCCACCTTCATACAAAAAAGGACCAGATATAACATCCTCGTTTTTGCTAAACGAATAATTTATTAATATAGTTCTAAGTTAAAATATAGTACTTGATTTTTTAGAAAAAATTGGGATAGAATTAGTATGAGATGCTTTAGACAAAATTGTTAAGTATATTTTTAAGAAATTTTTGGTAATTTTTAATTTTTAAATTTTTAAGTTTCAAAAAGTGTCAATTTGTATTGGTTAAAATTGTTGTATAATGCTAAAAATAACATTTTATTTTAAAAATAACAATAATAATAATAAAAATTATAAAAAAATTATATTTTATTTATAAATATTATTTGGAATATAAAAATAATGTTTTTGTAATTAATGAGCATTTGTGAATTTTCTAGTTAATTTTACGTAAATTAGTTATATGCTCAAGCAGAAATTGCATGTAAAAATTTTAGACACCAATTAAAGGATCAATAGTGTCAAAAATTATTTTATAATTATGTTTAATATATTTCATGATTATTTTTAAATTTTAGGATTTTTATCTAATTATTTCAATTAATTACTAAAGAATTAGTAAAAATTCTAATATTATATTATTATTTTTACTATTTAAGGTAAGGATTAGTCTCTAAAGCTTCCCATTTCTTCCTTTCACTTCCGTAAGCCCTATTTTCTTTCTTCCAAGGAGCTTTGATCATCTTTGGTCTTAATCTCTTAAATTTCCAAGTAAGTTCATTAAATTTTTATTATATTTCATCATTTTGAACACTTTGAACCGATTAATTTTTTATTTTCTCCCTCTTTTTGGGTGCTGGAATAGTGGCATGAGGGTGAGATTTTGTCCAAAAATTTTGTTTCTAAATTATGTTTTAATTAGCTTAATCTTTCTATATTTTATAATAAATAATTTTGGTACTTTTTGTTTTGTTAAAAATACATTTGGGGGTTTAAAACTCTTGGTCTAGAGGTGCTGTCCCAAGAGTGTTATGAAGGAAAAATAATTATTTTTAATCACCTTTAGGCTTATAGTATTCCATTTACATCATAGAAAACAATTGTAAGACCTGTAAGCCATTTTTGCAAAGATTAGAAAATGATAGTTTCAACTCACTAGTAGTGGGTTGGGTGATTAATGCCTCTTAACATTGATCATGATTATGTGTGATTATTTGGTTAGGATCGTGGTTTGAGAAGTGGTGGAAAGAAGTCGTTGGTGAGAAAAAAAATCGGTATACACTTCAAGGTAAGGGGGGACATATCTATTTTCACGGATATAGTAGAAAAACGTTGAGAAATGGGTGTTTTATTCTTTGTTATGTATATATGAATTATTTGAAGGAATTTATAATTATTTCCATACTTAGTGTACAATTGTTTGATATTCCTTTTTGAAATTGATTTTATATGTGATGATGTTTCTATGATAATTGTTTGTTGAATTCAGTATAAATAATTGATTACATAAAATACTTGAGGAATGAACTGTCATTCATGTGGAGTGAGCATATAGAAGGTCTGTTGAAAGTTGAAAAGAATTGGAGAATTGCGAAATAAAGATATTAAAAAAAAAATCTTCTTTAATTTCAAGTGGTTTGATCAAAATTTATTTAATAGTTTTTATATGTTTAAAATATACCTATATACATATTTAAATAATTTAAAGGATTTTAATTCATTTTAAAGAATTATTTTAAATGAGTATTTTGAAATGTGGTGATAATTGGAAAAAGGTATTTGAGAGCCATTGAAATGAAAGAAAAGTTGTGAAATGTGGTGGTGGTGAGACTCTGTTTAAAATTCGAAGTGTATTAGAATTTTCTGGCTGTTTTGCAGAGAGAAGAAAATTTAGAAATATCTGAATTATAGAGGAAACTCTGCCGGATTGTCGGTAGAATTTTGAAATATATGTTGTTGATTAAAAAGAAATGTTTAATACCTAATTAAAAGACTGAAATTAGGTTCGTGTATCATAAGCATGTAATGATGATGGTGTTGGATGGGAAGTATACGAAATCTAGGGAAGACTCCAGGTTAGTCTTGGGGATAGTTGGGTGTGATTGAGTCGGGCAAAGGCCAGGGCTCGTAACCCTGTGCTGTCGGTTCTCACTGCAAAATCGGACTATCCTGACAGAACCCGATGGATTATCAGAATCAGTTGAGCTATATCTTTGAAACTATCTAATGAGATGGTTATGACCAAGAATGATTGGTGACAGTGAACTCCTGATCCTTCTCAGAAAGAAAGAAAGAGAAAAAGAAAAAGAAAATGGTTTGGGCCCACATGCATGTGTCAGTATAGCAATTAACTAGGTGATGCACAAAATCATACATGACATGTACATTGTGTGTTGAGTTGTTGCTAATTGCTATAATGATTGTAAATATCTTGACGTGTTTTCTACTGTACTTTGGTTGAAATGGGTTTGTCTCACCCTTTTAGTTGCTATGTGAATATGTTTAGTAGGTGAGGACACAAATGGCCCGACCACCATACCAGTTCAGCGTCACGGTCAGATATGATCCTGACGAAAGATGGGCGTACGATTGGGAACGACAACGGTTCACCCATACTGGCACTATTACCTTTTGTTAGATAGAAATGGGCCAGGCCCACGGGCATATCCCATCCCCATTAGGGTACCTATGAGACTCACATTTCCATTTACTCCTAGAGTACTGTTAACTTTTGGAGGAAATGGTATTTTTGATAATCATGGGTCTAGGGGAAAAGCTTGTGAGGTCATTTTTGTTATTGTTGTCTCTGATATCGTGACCCCACTTTATTTTGTATGTAAATCAGCTATGTGTATATGTTTATATGACTGGATGACTGTATATTTTGACAGATGATTGCTATATACGTATTTGGATAACTGATGCAGATGGTATATTTAGTTTCTATTAATGTGAACAAATGTAAATTCATACATGTGGCTTTCTTACTGCTTGGATTATATTAATATTATATTTATATTGATGGCATAATAAGTAGTAAGGGTGTCACACCAGACAGGTCCAAAAAGCGGAGGAGAAGGGATTCTGTTGAAGAACCAAACCCAGTAAGGCTAAGAAGGTCATATTCCCAAAACAAATACAATAAGTGTCTAGGGTTTGGACTTAATAGGACTACTTGTCCAAACCCGTTAGTTCAGCACATAAGTTCATGATTTAATAGCGAGAGTATTTGAATTTTTTTGGATATTCATATTAATAACTTTGGCATTGGTTAACATATTGAATATTTTTTCCTATAGGAAGCGTCAAACCAAGTCCCTGGAACAGGGATAGAAGAGGCATAGGAAAATGTAGACTAAGAGGAGCACAACTTGGTTTAACAAACACTGAACAAGAATCACAATCATCAGTCCTCACTGCTAGCCAATCTGAACTTGTGGTTGCCAATCCAATCTCTGCTACAATGTCTGATACAACTAGCTTAGTTTAGTTTTAATATGGCCCACCTTTTTTTGGACATATTGTTGCCACATTTTGTACAAAATAGTTGGATGTAAATTTGGATGTTTAGCTGTCACATTTTGTATTTGCACAGTTGGATGTAATTTTTGTTGTATTTCTGCCACTGAATATTATTTTGCAAGTTGGATGTAATTTTGGTTGTATTTCTACCACAGGATGTTATTTTGCACAGTTGGATATTATTTTGGACAACTTTTGTCCTAGACAATGTACAAAACAATCTAAGATTGGAATGGATGTTATTTATTGGCATATTGCAATTGTCTTCTTTTTTTCTCTGATACAATGTTATTTTCCAGAATATCAATGAATCTACTTAGAAAAATTGCAATTGGAATCAGCTAAAATTAGTTAAACAATCCAAACATTACACAGTTTGCTAAAGATAATCATATCACACTTAACAAAACAATATTTCATTGATGACAAATCTGGTTACATGAGTCAAGGCACATTGAAATACATAACTAAAAACTTAAAAATTATAATAGCTAAATACAATTACACAACTGCAAAACTGCAATTTCATATTACTGTAGTCACAAACAGATTACACATAAAGGATTTGTTAGCCTTTCATGGCAGTATATATTAACAACAAAATAATTATGGCTCATGAAACTCCAACTGTGTAACACAAAATCTATCTTTTTTCCTTCTCACATGAAAGTCTCCTTTCTAGCTTTACAATCCTAAAAAATGGTCTTCAATGATTGTTGGAACCTTATTTGAACATATGCATTTCACTCCCTCAGAAACTCCTTCATCAGTCCATTTAAAGAACTTGCAAGACTCCTTCAATTGCACATCACACACACACCTAATATAAGAATTTTTTTTTTGAAAAGGATGAACAATATAATACTATACTCATGAAGGATATTTATTACTTACTTTTTAATTCGAACATCTCCAAAAAGGCCATTTCAAGGATTGTTCTTGCTGTTGGAGGTTAGTAGAACCTTCATTTCTCCACAACCACATAGACATTGTCTTGAAGGCTTCATACTGTTGAGGAAGATGCTGAAGGTCGCGATTTTGTTGCCATAAAATAGTATTTGCAGCTTTTCTCCTTCCAATGTCAGCGGAGAATAGAATATTAAGACGTGAAGATATTGAAATTAGGGTTTTTCATTGTCTGCTAATAACACAAGATAACAAAGCGAGGTTATAGAATAGGGTTTTTGCATCTCTTTTTCAGCTTATTTTATTATCTTTTCATTTCCTAACCCTAAACCCACCTCAACAAGCATGGTACCAGGTAGGCAAGTGACTGGGGTCGAAAAAGCCACGTAGAGTGCAGAGTTGGCTTTCCATTAGTTAGCTCAGCACTTAATTAAAAAAAGGTTAATGACAGTGACTAAATCCAAAATTTTAAATTTTTCAGAGACTAAATCCTAACAAAAAATTTATAAGGACTTATCACAAAACGACTTACATTTATAGAAACAAAAACATAATTAAGCTTAAAATAAATTGAATGATTGATGCAGGAAAAGTCAATGACTAAATAATAACTCTTAATTTTTTTTTAAAAAATAAAATTTACATTTATAATATAGGAATGTGCACACACATATATATATATAGGAGAAGAATCTTCTTACACCAGTATAAGTCTAAAAACTTTTACACCCAATCTGAACATTTTATTTAATTTACATTTAACGGTCAGTGAAGCAATAAATTATAATCCATTAGATATAAGTTAAATGAAAGGTTCATATTAGGTGTAAAAGTTTTAGACTTACACCAATATAAGAAGATTTTGCCATATATATATATATATATAAAGAAAGATCTTCTCAAATTAGTGCAAGTCAAAAAACTCTTAGACTTGATTTGAGTCTTTTATTTAATTTACATCTAATAATCAATTAAATAATAAATTATAACCCGTTAGATATAAGTTAAATGTAAAAAAATTTAAACTTACACTAATGCGAAAAGATCTTGTCCATATATATATATATATATAACTCATTCAAATTCTTTTTTGTTGTAACAAGATTTAAAATTTTCTTAAGTAAATATAAATTTGTAAAAAAAAATGTAAAAAATGACGTAAAATTCATTAAAACAAAATTTGCATCGTCCTTCACCTTATCTCTCTCACCAATTCACCAATTCTCCTTCTCCCCGTGCCCCCAACTGCCCCTCTCCACCTCCTTCTTCACCATAATCCTAAGCTTAATTTTACGATCAAACCAAGAATTGACAAGTTTAATAACATCAAACCGCCAAAGAATATATAGTGTACACTATTGTTGTAAAGGCTGTTTGTGTCACTACTATTCTTGGGTATCTTAGAAAAGTAATCCAAACAAGCCAATGGATGATTAAAAGAAAACTGAGCAGATTGTCTTTTATTTAAATAATTAACAGTAACATCAAGAATTCACCACTTGCACTCCACTTGAATTTAGCCTTATTTCATAAAAATATAACCTCATGGCTGTGATCCATACAACTACAAGCCAACGGATAATATGATGAAGTTCATCCACACAACCCTCAAACACAGAAATCTGAACAAACAAAGAACTCAGAAATGATGAAGCCTACAACTTCCCAATGCTGCCAGGATAACAAGTTCCAACACTACAACCTCAACCACTCCAAACAAGGACACAAGCCCCAACAAAATCCAGAGGGGTAATCCTTTAAATACACCTCTCTGCCATACCCTATAATATAGAAACTGAAGGATCGCTGACGATGAGCCATAGTGACCCGAGTTACCGGCACAACTGAGATTGTGTGCCTCTCACATATGACCCTTGCAGTGGCAGGTACTTGAGCTCTTTCTGCAATCACTTCAGAAGAGAATTTGTTGAGGAAAAAAGAATCAGCAAAGAAGGCTGGTGTGCATTGGTAAGCCTGAGTGTTGCACAATTGAACCCCTTTGGATCTATGGAACACCTCGTTTGGCACTGATGCTGCTCCACTAGTTGCATTTACTTTCCGAGTTGAAAGTGTCTTCCTACAACAGCGCTCAAACACAAATGCACGTACTCGTTTAGCATTGTCACCAAAACAAATCAATATAAAGCAAAACAACATGAAACTGTATGACTAGGAGCCTCTTAAAAGATCACATATTAGAACTTGCTTAATACTAAAATACTGAATTTTTTGTATGTTTGTGATATTTAATCTAGTCTACAATGACTCTAATGACGGATTGCAACTCTGCAAACGGGATTGAGCTACTGCTCAAACATCATAGTATGAAACAGGCCTTGGTCCCGAACTATTTGGTGTCACTGCAAGTTTCAAACAGTCAGAGTCTTTATCATGGTTATATAAATACCATTCAACTCTATCAAATACTTGATTTTCTACAAATCCGGTTTTGTAAAATTTCAAATGATGTCAATAATCCCCTACTTTTTACCATCTTTGGTGTTTTTGAATTTTGATTCTGTAAACTTGGATATTGGAGTCTTTATTTCGAACAAGTTCAAACCATCATAGGAACCTTTCCTACAACTATGCTAAATTATGCTGTACCTCAAACGATGTTAGATAATGCTCCCATCAAACAACGTTTCAGAGATTTCCTAGTGTTACCAACATACACCTGAACAGTCCCATCTTTTTTACCTCTAATTATCAATCCATACTCTCGAATTCCATCCACGAGATACAGAATTTTATTTCAAACCTCGGAAATCAACTTCAGCTTTTGGAGCATGCTCAAATCACATAAATTGTTTTATTACTTCATTTGTAGAGATATATTCTTTAAACTTGTGCTTCCCACTTAATACCTACACTTATCATGTTTAAAACTCCTTTATATATCCCCTCACCCGTCCCCAAAAAATTCCCTTGTTTATATTCCCAAAAAAGAAAAATCCTTTGATTTGGCAGAACACGCTCATATTTTGGCAAAAATAACAAACCTATAAAAGAAATGGGGGATCATAGAGCTAATAAAAGCAGAATCTTATCAAGGACAATGAAAATAAGACGGTTAGTACATCTTTCTAGAGATAGTTAAAAAATCTACAACACAGTAAATTTGTTTTACCTTCCCATACGAATAAGACAATCTTGCTATTAGACCCAAACTGTTTATTTAAAATGATCAAAATAGACTAATAATAAAATCTAACAAATATTATGTTAACCACAATTATGGACAAACCATGTAACAGTTCATGGTAATAAATGATGCGATTCACCCTAGAGAGACTTCTTCAATGCAATAACTGGTTTAAACATTACATATTTTATGGATGGGAGTATAAAAAATTACAGAACCAAATAAATAAACTCCTCAAAAAAATTATAATACCTACAAGAGCACATGAGCCTTGAAAACTAGTACTCATTAAAGCAACTCCTCCAATGTATTATAAACATATAAGGTATGGCAAGTTTGGGGGAAATTATTCCAGAGACCACCGAAGCATGTACACTAAGGACCAATTGTACTATTCACAATTATTCATGGTATATAATTATAAAATGTATTATTAGACACCGGCAGATTGACATACCATCTAATAATGGCCAACTTGCGTGCTAGAAGAGAACCACTTCCATCACATAATGCACACTTAATTAGTCCACGAGATTCACAAGTCAGGCAAGGAATCTTTCCCTTACCATTACATTTCACACATCTGCAAGAAAATGTAAGTTGAATAGGTGAATTGCAAGAATAAACTTGCACCTTGATAAAAAGCAATGCAGCCAAGACATTTGACTCAAGCTCCAAATCAAAATTTAATTTTTTGATTTTCGGTATTTCATTCTCAGGAAAATAGAGCTGTCAATCAATGCTCTGAAGGAGAAGGACAAGCAATGATGTTTGACTACATGATCAATCTATAGGAGCTTAAGGCATATGTATTATTGCTTCACTTAATCTACATACATATGAGCAAACAAACTACTCACACTGTGTCAGAACCATCTCTATGAGCAATCAAACCCCTTCCATAACAAGTAGGACATTGAGTCATCTGATTTTCCTTATAATATCCAGGTTCTTGTTCTGCATTGCATGTAGCACAGACTATACTTCCTCGTCCTGCACAAACTGAAAATAATTTCCAGGTATTTGTTAGGAGAGGTAAAAAGAAATAGTAAGAAAATAGCAGTATATATATGTAAAAATTAGATTTGGGAAACTTGGAAATGCAAATCCATAATTTACCTGAGCATTTCTCAAGAACTTCAGAATGAGGAATTTTTTCTCGCACTTCTTTGTAGGGCATAAATAGAACAGGGAACTGAGACCTTAGATCCAATTCCCAAACACCAAGTTCAGGTCCATTATCCTTTCCATCAACATTGCCACCAGGGTATGGCTCTGTCTCTTTTATAATCTCTCTTTCCTCTATAAATGTATCCAGAGTTCCTATATAAACATTGCAGTCTTCTATTGCATGAATCTTCCATCTTCGAGCAGGACGACTACCCCAACAGCAATGATGACCAACATGATCTATGAGCAATTGTCGTATCTCTACTTCATCCAAGCCTTTCCTATAAGTGAATCACTCAGTTAACAAGATTATCTGCCAAAGCAGGAATATTGGACTTGAGAAATCCATATCATAATATGCTTTAGCGAAGGGCACACAATTTTAGAGATAGCTAAGGTGTGGAAGATGTTTTTTAATTAAACATGTACATTATGTTCTAGTAGTAACCGATTCATTTCATGACCTATTAATGAAAACAAAACAATCTAGTAATACTTTAAATGCAAAACATGATTAGAAGTTTATCTTGATTAACCCCGCTAATTTCTAACCACTTCCAAACTCTTTCAAGCTATTGCTATTTTCTTCAACATAAAAAGGGGGTAGACCTATCTTTATTAATTGCAGCTGTGCCACTGCAAATATATGAAGTAAATAAACCAATTGCTTCATGCTATGTATATGATTTCAACTATTTGTTTCCGACATGAATAGTGATCAGTATATAAAACCACCACCAGATCAGATATATTTAACTACACATTTTCAAGTAGCCAAGATACCTTGGTTCCTTACAGGTTGTATTCAATCAAAGAGACCCAAATCAACCCTTATATTTTAAACTCCATATACCTGCATTTCTAATTTCTACAATGAAGTCTAAGTTAGATCCCCCAGATCATTCTAAAAGCTATGTCCTTGAAAGCGCTCATAACTTTAAATTTTATGTTAGAATTATCTCTAGTATAGTAAATTGAATCAATCATTGTAAGGTTATTCATAAGCTTAAGCCAAGAGTTCTACCTAAATACTAAGAAAGGACTAGCTAAATATATATCTAATGTGTTTGGACATTTTTCAACCTCAAAAAACTTCCTCTCCATCCACACATACAGAATATGAACTCAGAGCTTTCACCCCCAAATAAGATGAAAGACCAATCACCAAACCCACATAGACATGGAGTAATTCATCAAAGATAAGAGTAACACTGCATGCTAGCATAGCTACTAAGATATATGTCTCAAGCATTCTCTTTTGTTCTTTATTAAATATGCATCTGAGAAAGTATCATAAATACTGATAAAAGGAAGTGATGAATTTCATATTAACGACTGCAGACCCAAACTTTTATAGCTTTCCAGTACTTATTTTATATATATATATATATATATACACTCCAAACTTCTAATCTTTTCTTTTTCATTTATAACATAAAATTTCTGCCAAATAAGGTTCAAACCATCATAGAATAAAAGCAGAACCATTATTCTTTTAGACAATAAATGACAAAATTATAGCTTCATGCACGACCTAGTTTCAATATGACAACTTATGAGAAACGCATCTTTCATAGATTTGTTTTAGGTAATTATACCTCTGGAATTCAGGTCCGGGCTGACCATATTCCCCTCCATATCCACCTTGATAAACAAGAGCTTGCTCTGCAACAAGTAATGTATTTAACACCCAGATTTACTTACAGGCAAAATATGTCTTCTGTACATAGCAACTCTCTGTTTGCCTTATAATTATAAAACTTGTTGCTAAAGAAAATCAAACAGATTCCCTCCTTGCAGTTGTACAATGATCGTAACTTTGGACCCTCCAAGTTTCCATATCATTACAGCCGCATGGCTTAAAGTTGAACAAAATTGATTTTGACAGAATTGGTTTTAAACTGTTGAATGTTATTGAGATGTATGCCAAAATTAATTTGAACCATATGCATATTTTTCTTATTGAAACGTATATTTTCATTGAAAAGTGTAAGAATTGATATTATAACCTTAAAACAAAGGAGGCTTAAATAATGCAGATGAATCAACATTTCCATGACCTAGCAATGGAATCAGAAACACAAAGATCAAAATCAATCATCATGACTGACATGAAAATCAAGAACAACAAGAGCACCCACCTGTAGGCTCAGGCTCAGGTGAGCCAACCAAAGCCCCATGAAGGGAAGGGGGATAGTAACCTGGAGAAGAAGCAGCAGCTGCAGATCTTATTTCATCCACACTCACCTCAGTTCCAGCCAATGAGGCAGTAGGAATCACAGAACCGGTTCGACCCACATACTGATACGAGCCCCATTTTCCACTCTCCTTCTCAACCGATTCACTTCTTTGCTCTAATTCAAACCCACAAAAAAAATAAAAATTAATCAGAATCAAAATCACAATTAAAATTCGATATCGACAATAAAAATTGAAACTTTATGGGAAATGTTGTCCCGGGTAAGAATTGAAATTGTACCCGATAGCAGAGGCTCCTCCATGGTGCTGTAGATAGTTCTGAGAGACTACGGTGACTTATATATTGGCTATTACCTTTGCCATTAAGGAAATAGAATTGTGGATTATACAATTACGCGAGTCAAACGGTGCTATGATTTGATCATTGGGATGGTCCCAGTAGTTAATACACCGCATGCTGACTTGTTGTTCTGCCTCTTGGAATTTTCACAACGAATGGCCAGTGCAAGAACAGAACATTCTTTAGTGGAAATCGGAGTTTGTATGATTTAAATTTTACCATTAAAAAAATTTAATTTAATTTAATAACATCCCTGTGATTGTGCATTTCAAAGAAGTTCATATCATTAGGACTCTCCCGTGTGAAATTGGTAGCGATAATATCACTTTTTTTAAATAATGTCGAAGCAAACCATATTTTTATAACTGCTTGTTACAACTCTTTTTTGTTAATTACCTAATTTTTCATTATTTTTTATTTTTTAAATTTTGATTTAAAAAATTATGTAAAAAAAGGGATGGGACTAATAAAAAAAAGAGTGATGTAAACCGTATAGATCATAGTAGAAAACATTGGCCAACAAAATATTCATAGCCACAATAATTATAAAATTGTTTATTGTGGACAAAAACAAAAATTGTTTATAACATAGAATTGTTAAATTAAACCCGAGAAAAGAAAATGAAAACAATGAATTAGGATTGGAGAAAACGAGGGAAGGAGCAGAGTTTTACAGAGTGGTTGTTGTCCGATTCCCATGGGTTGCCTTTCACTCAGTAAACATGTGATTCATTATCATCTGGTGGAAAGACTTGTTAATAGGACTTCACGAGTGATATATAATGAAGGTATAATTTTTCCATGGTACCGTTTGACTATAAGGTTAGAACAAAGATAATTAAATATACACAACCATCCAATTCACTTAAACATAACTGTTACACACTCCAAAATATTACGTAATTGCTTTACACCATCCCTTATCAGTTATCACCCTTGGGATAAAGTTCAAACTTCACTTTCTTCCTTTGGCTTCTTCAGGAGGTAGAATAGGCCCTCTGTCAAAGCAGCTTTGGATGTCAAAGAAGCCCCTAACAGGTTTAATGCCTGACCAAAATTGAGATAATGAATGTCGCTTATATGAATAAGAAGCATTATACAAAGTTCATCATAGCCAATTATTTGACCAAATTAAAACAAATGGTACTAAAACCATTGATATGAATCAAACTTTCTTATATCAACATAGTGGCAGCATGAAAAAACATATAGTCAAGATTCAAGAGTGGATTGTTAACATACTTCCTTTGTCTTCCCAACTTCCACCAAATGTTCCTCAAAATCATCCAACGGGACATTAAGCTTTTGCAGAAAAGAAATGCTAGAAGTACTTGTCATTGGTGTCACTTTCAGATCATCCCAAACCACAAACAGACACGGTCTCCTCACAAATCCCACAGCATGTTCTCTTGCGCCATCAGAAGATCTTGGATCAAAAAGTTTCATAGCTACTGGATCTTGTATCATATCTTGTCTCTTTGAAATCATTTCACGTCTAATACACCCCATACCCACATTATTTTTCGTTACTCCAGTGCCATACCAAAAGTTAGGAGTGGCTTCTTCTGAAAGATATAGTGGTTGGCTCTTACAACCAAATTGAGTAGCCCAGCGTGGATTCAGCAATGAAGTGCCTAATGACCCTATGAACCATGACGGACTGAGATTCTTCACACTTGCGTACAACCTATCAATGCATCCCAAAGATAAGTTGCCACTCATAAGGTGCATAATGGATCCAAGAGGTAGTGTGAGGAAGCTGAATAGAAAATCAACAAAATCTGCCTCAGCTTCAGCAAAAAGAATCGTGTTCTTTGATTTGCTCACTGTTATCTTGAGTTTTACAGAACATCTATAATAATTTGAGATAATCTCTGGTGAGAAAGAGTACAATGGCTTAGATTCTCCGTTTGCCAAGAATACATCACTTAGAGGAGATTTGGAGCTTAATGCTTGCTTTAGTATGCTAAAAATCTGAATAGAATAAAATAAACAAACTTTTAAGCTTGTAAATTTGTAACTCATCAAACAAGGAAATTTATGCCACCATCAAAATATTGCAGTAAAGAAAATGTGCTGCCCACCCACAACTTTACAAGATAAATAAGGAACTTTATCAGACGCATAAAGTGGTGAGTGTAAGTCACACAAATGTTTCGAATTCAATATATATGAACTTTCTATCACAAAATAATCATTTTAATCCACTAAAGTATTTTTTTAATGGCATAAACTTACGACTCCTATATGTTGTCTCTGTACATATTCATGGCTGAAGATTAACTCCGAGTCTAACATATTATTTGCTCGGTCAAAGTATATATTTAGTATCTACAATTAATATTAATTTATACATTAGTATCTATAATTAAAAAATTATATTTTTAGTTTTTATAAAATTATTTTATTATTTAAGTCCTATTTATTATAACACCATTGATGATAGATGAGATTAAAATTTAACAAAGTAATTGTATAAGAACTAAAATGTAATTTTTTTAAAACATAGAAATAAGTGTTAACTGTAAAAACTAAATTTGTACTTTTTTTATCTAATTATAAATTAAAAAAATACAAGATACCAAACTTAATTAAAGAAAGACTTGTTTTATAACTTAATTTTGTCAGCAAAACACATTTAATTATCGAATAATAAATAATTTTATTTTAATTTATACTTCTATTTATTTATTCTACATGGAGAGAAATAAATAAAGTATTAACATTCTCGTTATAATTTTTTAATACATAATCATCTCAATTTATATATAATATATTTTCTTGTATGATGTATCAATTTGTATAAATTTTTTAAATACTTTTATATTTCATAAGAAAAAATTCTATCTTTAAAATATTATCGTTATTCAAAATTTTAGATGATCAACTTTATTACATAAATGAATTTATAACTTTTCTATCATGATACTATATGCAATTCTTATTTTATCAGCTCAAAAAATCATTAATTAGTTTTATATCATTTTTTTAATCAATTAAATGTTTTATCCATGAAAAAAATAATTATATTTAATTTTTTTTAACAATAACAAGAAATTATTTGTCATATGTAATTTTTTTAACATTTTATTAATTATAATTATAAATTTTTAATTGATCTATCTATTCACTAAATTAATAAGAGTTTAATCTATCAATATGTATGATTTTAGATTATAAATGATAATCTTTAACTTAAATATATATAAATTTTTAGTCTCTTAAAAATTTATAATTTTTTAATTAATATCTCATTTTTAATTTTTTTTAAAAAATTATTAATTTAAAAAAAAAATATATATTTAATTTATATAGCTAACACTTATTTACAAGTTAGATCTCATAGTTAAAAATATTTACGTTTTAATATTTATGAGATTAAAATGTAAATATTTTTAAAGTATAAAATTAATTTATACATGAGTGAAAATTATAAAAATTAAATATATATTTTTTATTTTTTTGATAAAAATAGAGAGGAAGGAAAAAAGAGAGAGAGATTTTGATAAAAACTGTCTGTGCTTCCAAAACTTAAAGGGATAAGAGGAAAAATATGTGGGCAAATCCTTGTTCCTCAGTAAATTTGGGGTATTTTGCTTTTGGGTGATAATTCTTTGACTTATCTTAAAGCCATGTTGTTTAAGAATAGGAAAGTGAGAGGTAGGAAGTAAAAGCAAGAAAATAAAACCGAATGATGTGATAGGTATATATAATAATAAAAGAGAGATAAAAAAAAAAGTAATGAAAAAAATATAAAAACGGGTATAGAAATATTAATATTGTTTTTTTTTCTCACTCTTCCTGCATCTCCTTTAACCAAGCAATCCACGCATGTACCATGTTAATTAAACGAACAAAATTTAACACTACCTCCTTCATGCCAACGTTTAGAGACATTTCTGTCATCTTGTTGAAGTCTTTGTATCCAAGTTGGAGAAGTTGTTGAACAGAGTTACCAGGAGAGCTTGGGAGCACTCTCAAGTCATCAAAGATCAAGAACATGGCGTCACCTTTAACAAAAACACCATTTTCTCCACCACTCTCTTCCTTGGATTCTACCATCAGCTTCATTTCTTTGCTCAACAATTTCCCACAGGAGCAACTCGCTCCTGCAAAAGTACTCAGCAACAAAACACTGCTCCTTGAACAACTGCTACACATGAAGTACTTTGTGGGCTCAGTATCATCTACCTTCAGTTTTAGTCTCTGGCAAAAGGCTTCAAGAGGGTTGCAAGGAGAAAGCAGCATTTGCTTGCAGATTTGATTCCAAAAAACATCAGTGCTAAAGTTTTCCACACTGTGGTACAAGTTACTGATGCAACCAATTTCTAGTGGTTGATGAGGTTGGCTCTTTGAGGCAAGCCTTATGATAGTTCCTAATGGAAGGGTCATGAAACTAAAGAGAACATCAACAAAGTCTCCACTTGCTTCAACCAAAATTACACGGTTTTGTTCTTTGTCCACCCAAAATCTCAAAGGGATTGTTGCTTCTTGCTTGGAAGCCATAACAGGAATGAACACAAAACCACAAAAATTAAGAAAAATGTATAAGTTTAAATTTTCTGATATCTCAAATTGTTGTTGCATTGGAACTTCCTAACGTGATATTTATAGAATATTAGAATTATAACGTTGTATATCTCCGTTGGAATTAAGGAAGCTATAAAGAGAAAAATTGTGAAAAATAAGATTCCCGAGACAGCTAGCACTAGTGCGACTCCGTTGATGTCTTTTACTTTTTTGTCCTCAATGGTTGATATGCAAGTATATACATGACGATAACTTATGTTTTGATTACTTCTTTTAAAGAAATTAAACTATCTTTTGAAAATTACTAACACATAATAATTACTTATTAACAAATATTTTTTGAATTATTAACAAATAATTCTAAAAATATAAAATTTATACGGTGTGAGGACACACACAAATATATAGTTAATTAAAAAAGTCTATATGGTACATGTTCAAAAGTTAGTTGATTGAGATTAAAGTTTAAAGTATTGTACTATCAAGCCTTTGTGATCCTTCAATTTCTTTAATATCTAAAGCCGATGGGGTACGACAGAGCGTAAGCCATTCATCTTTCAGCTTGAAATGAAATGGAAAAGGGAAACTCAAATAATTATGTCGTAAATTGCACTGTTTCTAAATTACATAATTTAAAATGAGGTTTTCTCTCCCCCCGATATTTCCGCTCTGCAATGTTTCACATATGCGTCGAGTCACTAGCAAATTGGTGTAAAAAAAAGGTTTTCAGCGAAATATTTCCAGCTAAAAAATCGGTTTACGCCAAGGAAGAAGAGTAAAGAGAGGATTGAAACTTCGAGCTTAGGTTCGTCAAAGGAAGACGAAGTATCAAGAAGGCTAAAAGATAGCTGAAATGCAGAAAAAGAGTCCGAACACTCAAATAGATAAAAAGAGAAAGGTGTTTGCTCCTGTACCTGAAGATTTGAGGAGGCATTAGGTGCTTATGATATTAAAGTTATGGGTGAAACAATTGGTGGGGTTCCATTTAGGTGTCATTGCATTAGAAAGGAGCTTCCCGAGGCGAATTTGTATAGCCATTAATAAAATTTGCTTTAGAATAAGACACTAAAGAGAAAGAAAGTGGTTTAAGTTGAATTATTTTCTATTATCTACTTTTAAAAGCAGTTTATTTAAAGATCACTTTGGAGAGCAGTTACTAAATAATCGTACTTTGATACTGCTATTTAAGAAAGCGGGTGATATGTGAAACGATTGTCAGAATTAAAGATGGGAGAGTGATTATCGCTTAATCACTTTCTAAAGTTCAATTTCAAATTAAACTAAAAACTTCGTCATCTCTTTTCTCACATTCACTCTCTGCTGCTACCACACTCTAAATTCTCTGTCATCTCAAATGTGTTTGTGTCATCCTCTGCACTATTAATGTAGCATTTGTATCCTAAGATATACTTTTCTTTATTTGTCTTTCATCACTATGAACAATACTCAATTCTTCCCGGAGTTAAGACATACTATTGTTTGAAATCAATAGTGCATCCTCATCTTTAGTAGTGAGGTGAACTATGACTAAGGTGTAAGTACATTGCATTAAACTTAGTGACTTGAATATTTTTATATTTTTAGTGAAACTTATATTTCGCTTTTGATTGTTATCTGACAAAGCATATATTTAGTGAAAAAAAATTTGGCTTATATTTAGTAAAACTTATATTGCAAATGTCAAATTTTAAGTTAGTACATGAACATAGACGATTATTGTGTTGTTGTTATTAGTAATTTAACTGACAGAGAGTATATAGTGTATAAAACACAATGTAATTGTATTAAAGTTGTGTTGTGTGTGTATATACTTGAATATGTTATAATTTTGAATACTAAGAAGAATAAATGAAGTTTTTATAGATGTAATATAGACTGAATTATGATAAAATTTTTGGGTTGTGTGTGTCTCCTTATTTAGCTAGATGAAGATGAGTTAATATGATGCCCTATTGTATAGACTTAGGCAAAGACATGTAAATCTACAAGAATGATTGTATGATGAAATAGAACTAAATGCATTTAGCAAAGATATGTATTTAAATATATTTGATTGTGAGTAGGTAGGATAATATATAAGTTGTGAATACATATGTTTTGTTGTTTGGTTAAGAATGCAAATACATATAATCTTGTTTTTTTTTTTTGTAAATTGTTCTAAAGTTGAAGTTTAAAATCTCAATAAAATTTTAAATTTGAGCGAAACATTAATTTTTTGTTCGAGATTCAAAATAATGATTAATAATTAAAGAAATTATTATTTTGAATATCAAATTATTTAAGTTGGACAGTTTGAAACATAGTTTTTCATTGATTGGTAATGAATTGAATATATATATTCCTTCGTATTTTGTATATTAACCTTCTTTTGTGCATAAGTAAATTGATTTAGAATACTTTTTTTTCAGTCTTGATTAAGTCTTAATTCAATTATTTTAGGATATCATATATTCTGACATTATTTAGTATTTAGGTTATAAATTGAGCTATAGACATCATTTTAATGTAATTCTTATTTTGTAAGAAAGTTAAGATATGATTCTAAAACTCGTATGAAGAAATCAGAGGTTGAATCCTAATGTCCAGAGCCAGAATTAGGATTAAACCAGAAGATAAAGGAGGCAAACGCGAATCCTCATCAATGGTCAATGTTTGGGCCATATCTTGGTTACAAATATCTAATTGAACTTATTTTAGTGGCATATGAAAGCTAACATCCATGTTTTTAATTCATATTCATATCATGAAGCTTAACGAGGCCAAATTCTGGGCTAAAATAAAGGAAAAAATTATGAATTTGTTTTATAAGATTAGGTGATTACCATTTAGAATATTTTTTTTCTTAGATTATGATATTGTTTAAAGATCAATCTTGGTGCAATCTTATTTTCACATTTTTTATAAGATTACTTATATTGGGATTATGATTTTTATTATCTTTTATTTTAAATTTTGATCTTATTAAAAGGAGAGAGTGAGAACATAGATAAATATACTAACAAATTTAGATTCAATTTGAATTTTTCTCCTTTTCTTTTGCATTTTCTATCCTATCCTCAAACTTTAAATTTTTGTGTTCCTCCACTTGTGAAAAAGTAATTTTCATACTTTAATTATAGATTTAAGAAAGCCAAACACTTTTGAGAATCAATTTGCAACGTTTATTCTCAATTCAAGTTTTCTCCTCTTCTCTTTAATCTATTTAATTTCACTAATTAAAAGTATTTATTCTAATTTCAATTGAGAAGTAATTGATTTATCATTATTTCTTAGTTATAAGTTTTTTTTTTGTTTTGTAAAATCTAGTTAAAGATATTTCTTCATTTCAACTAAAACTCTATGTTTATTCATTGTAACTAAAAATTTCATATGTTCCTTTAAATAAATAAATATATATATATATATATATATTATAAAAACTTGTCAAAAAATAGAAAATCTTATAGAGCTCATATTATTATACAAAAATTCACTCTAAATATATACCTAGACTATAAACAAAATCTATAATTTATCGTTACAACATTGATATTATTTTTTTTAGAGAGTGTAACACACTTTTCATTTTATATTTTTCAACTTAAATAGCTTAAATTACTTCAATCAAATTGAAAACTTTACTTCAAGTAAAAAAAAAAATATTATTATTTGAAAATTTTCCATTTATCCGAAACCTTTATTAAGTGAAAATTTTAATTTTAGAACATTTTACACGAGAATATATGGTAGATTGTTTCTTTTCCTTCCTAGAAGGTTTGGCCAAACTAAAAGTATTGAAGTTAATTTTACTAATTGCTATAGTAAATAAATTACTTTCCAAACTAAAAGTATTGAAGTTATTGCAACAATTAATTGATAAGATATACTCCATAGTATGTTTCGATGAGATTTGAAATAAAGAAAAAAATATGAAAAAAAAAGAAATAAAAAAGTAAGAAATAGAGTAAAAAATATTTAATTTAGAATGAATTCAAATAAGAAGGAAGGTAATTAAAAAAGGTAATCAAATTTATTAAAAATTAAAATTAAGTTAAAATAAGTTCAGCCTCTTCTTTATCCCATTCAAACTGTAGAAATTATTCATTTCCCGGTCACTTCCCTCCCTACTCTTTAAATTCACCCCATTTAAACAAATTGTTAGGATAATAATAGAGTTATCATAATAGTTAATCTACAAAAACTAAACTTACTATATAAAGGTATTATTAAAAAAATATTTTAAAATTTTTAAAGTGAGAAATAATTTAATAATATTTAATAAGAGGAGTGCAATCATGATAATTAAGAGGATGGAAAGCACTAAGAGGCAATCTGAAAAGCAAAATAACGCTTCTAACTCCAACATCCAAGCTTAGTATTAACCGTGCAAATGTGCAATGAAATTAGCCAATATTTCAGCATCTAACTTATTCCAATTTCAATACATAAAAAACATTAATAGCATAATATTCAACTATCATTTCGACGTTTAATTAATTCATCAGCTAGTTTTATAAATAAAAAAATCTTTGTCGTTTTGCTAGAGATTAACGCGTGTTAAATTCCCTCCTGTGCTAAATATAAGTAAAGAAACAATTAAATTATATTTATTAAAAATTTAATTAATTTTATTTTTAAAATAATTTTAATATATTCTTCATAATATTGGGGGGAATCACTTAAAGATGATTAAATTCTTTTAGCGGTAAATGATATTGATTGGCGATTTCAGTTTTTATGCTAAATATCAATGTTAGAAAAAAAAAAGGAATTTAAAAGTCATATGTAATTGTTAATGTCATGTTTTTATAATAAAAAAGCTATAAAAATAATTTTAAATTAACAAAAATATTAACATTTTATTAAATGATGTAAAATTAATTAAAACTTATTTATAGTTTATACCATCTTACCTGAATTTATATTTGCGATCAGAAACATCGCATGTTAAGAAATTAAAATTAACTTTTTAATAAAATCAAAATATTTATTGTTTCAAAATATTTATATCAAATGCTCAAAAGGAGAATACATAGAATTTACTTCAAATGAATAACATATCACATATGGCACTATTACTTCTTACGATAGGGCTTTTCAAAATTTAATATATGCAAGAACTTGACCTAATCAACAAACAGGTCAACCTCAATTCTCAAAATTTCCTCGTTTTTGGTGGGTGTGGTCCAGACTATAACAAGCTGAAAATTGAAAAAGTAACTAAAATGTTATTCTTTCCTTGTTGACTGAAACCCTTCAACTTTTATATTTAATTTCTCTGACATTTATTTTTTAATTTCTTTATTCTCTCTTCATTCGACAACTCATTTCGGGAGGTGGAACAAACCAATTCGCATCTGGAAGACACAAAAGAATCCAAAACACGAAGAACTTCACCAAATCATTTTTCACATCCCCATCATTTTAACAATTTCACATCGACCATCATCAATTGACCAAATCCGCAAGAATTCAGACAAAAGGTCAAAAAAGAAAAAAAGCACATTTCACTAATTACCCCACCCGTACCATTACCATGGCAACGAAAGAAAGGGGTAAACAAAATCCAAGAACCCTAACTCGTACTGAAGGTAGAATACAACAGTGATGGCCATCAGAAAATGAAGCATTCTGATGCTAAGATGGCAAAGGAGAGGCATTAGCAATGTTATCATTGTTAAGGGAACTCAAACGGCGACCAACCTCAAAGGAGACAAAGGCATCAAGAGCGGCATACTGTACCTGTTCCGCAGTGAGCCAGCGATTATCCCACCTACTCCGCGTGATCCATTGAGGCTTATGAACCTCTCTTCCAAGAACGCGCAGGCCCAATGTCTTAACCCCAGCCCGATTCAACTCTTGCTCACCAAGCTTCTCCGCAGCCAGAGACCGAAGGTCAACAAAGTTAGCCACGAGCAGGGAATAGTCTTCTAGAAGTTTCTCCACGTCTTCTTCAATGCCAACCCCAACGAAGGTGAGGTTACGGTCGCCCAGAAAGGAGATTAGGGATTCCGGCATGAACTGCGCGAAGAGAATCTGAAACACCAGGCAGCGACGCCCCACGCAGAGTTGGAGCGTGGCCACCGGGTTCTGCATGTTGCGCTGGGTGTTGGGGCGCCACTCCACGTCCAGCCCCACGATCAGGTGACGGAGGCGGCGGCGATGGATGCGGAGGATGTCGGAGATCCAAGAATCGACCAGGGAGGGTTCGGAGGTGAGGAGGGTGTGGATGGTGTCGGAGTAGAATGTGACGTCGTAGAGGTTGTGAGAGTCGTTTGGGAGGTAGTGGTCAACGATGCTTATGGTGGGGCGGGGGATTGGGTTATGGTTCGGCATGACGGTCGACGACGTGCCGTTTCGGTTAAACCTCGGGGGTTGGCGCCGATTATTCATTGTGGGGGAAGGAGGGTTTGATTTTGGAGTGTGAAGCGAAAAACGAATAACAAACAAGGCTGTGGCATTTTTTTGTAAGTGCGCGTAGCAATTTTATTCTAAATTGTACGGTCATTTTTAGGGACAATTTTCTTTTTCTTCTTGCTTAAGAAATGTCAGCTCTCTGTGCTCAAGCTTTAATTTCTCAATGTTTTTTTTCCTGCAAAATTATAAAATTATTTTTCATTCTATTAATAAAAGATACACATTTTTTTTATAAAAGTCTGTTGATATTTATTTAATGATGTTAATACTTATTTAATATATTTAATTTATTATATTTATTATTTTCTTTGAGTATTCAACTATTTTTCATAATCATCAGCTTAAAGTAAAAAATAAGAATTAGAGAGATAACAATTTATTTCTCTTCTTTACTTTTCCCCCCTCTTCGTAAGTTCGTAACCCCTTTTTTAAAAACACATTCATATAATTTCCTGTATGTGTGATTGAAGGGAAATAAAGACGAGAGGAAAGACTTTAAAGTTTAAACAAGTTGTAAGCATTAATTTTTTTTTCAAATAATATTAATTATTTAATTTTATTAAATCTTTTAATTTTGATGCATAATATTCATAGTTATAGAATTTAATCAAAATATTTTTAATAAAGTTATTACATAAAATAAATGTTTATAAAAATATAACATTTTATTATTTAATTATATGTGTGCTTATTCTTTGCACAAACTACTGAAACAATAATAAATAAAAAGTTAAATATTACAATTTATAAATTAAAATTACATACTTTTTTGAAATAATAGAATATAAAAAAATGTAAAATTGGGATATTCACTTTTGATTCGATTTTGACTTAAACTATTTCAATTAATTATATAAATAATATGTGTTTCAATTTAATTTAATTTAAATATAATATCAAAATTAAATCTAACCAAACTCATATTTTATAATTTAGATTAATATTTTAGTTTTTATTTATTTTTAAATTATTTTTGTTTCATAAAATTTGTTTATTTTTATATGAATTTTAAAAATAATTCAAAAATTAAGTGACAAAAGTAATATGTTACATATTAATGTATTGTTATGATGAAATTTAAAAAATTAATTTTTATATGAAAATGTAAAAAGAAAAAATAATATAAATATATTACCGTATGACTTAGTTTGGTTGGATTTAATTTTAATAATAAAAACTGAAATTCAAAATAAATTAAAGAATATAATACAATTTTTTTATCATCTTTAGTTTGATTGATTTTTTATTGAATTGATTTTTAATTATTTTAAGTTCAATTTGGGGCTTAAAGATCAAAATAATGTAATTTTAAAAATTAAATCAAAATAATTCTTTGTCTGGGACATTTTGGACCACGTCAGACATAATTTTGTATAAAAGTTAAACAAAAGTATTTTTTTTTATATTTTATTTGATCATTTCGTATCAAATAGGGATGAAACACCTGGACACGTGGCTTTAATTTCATATAAAAACAAGACGAAATCATAAGATAGAGACACGTGGTTAAATCGCAACGAATTTGCCTTAAAAATGGACAAAATTAACAGAATGTTGACACGTGTCAAAATCTGTTAATTTCGTCTTAATGTCAAACGAAATTAACAGGATATTGACACGTGTCAACATCCTGTTAATTTCGTCATCAAGATGGACGAAAATATTGTTTTACCCAGCGGTCTCAAATATCTAACAAAATTTTAGTATATGAAGTGCAGATGGGGATCGATTAGTAAATTTTTATGAGTTCGTAAGCTTTGAAAGAAGAAGTTCATTCAGGTTAGTAAATTTTAGATAATTTTATGAGTTTTTATATTATTGAAAAATTAATGAAATTATAAATTTTTAATAACTAAAATCAATAGAAGTAGTTAAATGCTGATTAAAAAATTAAGAAGTTATTAGATAGTTAATATTAACATGTGTAATTAATAAATATGATGATATATATATGGTGTAATATCAAATAATGTGAAATGTAGTAGTATATTTGTGTATGTTAATAATAATTTAAATGAATTATTTATATAAATAAGTATAGTGTTATAATTGTTTATTGATTATTTTTTTTTTGTTTATAAATGCAGGATGAGTGAGATTATTATTATTGTATATTGGAATGGAAAAATTGATGTTGGAAATGAAGGTGTGACATTTGAAGGTAGTAAAAAAATGATAAAAATAAAAAGAAGAATAAGTTTTATGAATTTAAAAAAAAAGATTAATGACAAGTTGAATCTTAGTAAAAATTATTTCATATCCAGAATAATTTATCATTTTATGGTTGATTCAAGTGCTAAACAATATACTGCATTAGATATATGTGATGATGAAGATATTGATTATATGATTAGTGCGTATCAACAATAAAGTATTACAACATTTATTGAATTATATGTGGATATTGCATTTAGTAAGAGTTCAAAAGTTGGGTCAAATAGGTTGGATTTAAGCTTATCAATGTCGCCGCCTAACCTTATGGAAATGGGAAATATAAATATTACAGAAGGTATAAATTATATTAAAAATTTAAATTCTTTTATATTTAGTGAGTACACATGTTGAATAAGTGTATGTATTTTGCAGGATGTGCAGAATTATGCAGTTATGAAGATGAGATGAAATCAATAGTGATGATGATGATGATGTTGATGAAGGACATATTCCGTTAGATAGCTCATCGGATACAGATGTAGATGGTGATTTTGATTCAAACTTAAATTTACAACAACAGGATGTTGGAGGTAATATTTATAAAGTATGTTGATTAAATTAATTATCTTTTTTAATGATAAATAATATCCGTTTATATATAGTTGTAGGTGAAATACCTTTTTAGAATATAAGTCCACACTACAATTATGTCAATTGGGACCACCCAGACCAAGATATTGAAGGAGAAGAAATTAGTGCTGACAATTCATGGGTTATTGGAGATTTGTTACATGTGGATTTATTATTTGACTCCAAAGACGAAGTTAAAAATGCCTTAAAATAACATGCAATGAAAATACACAAGAGTTATTTTGTTGTTGAGTCAAAGCCAATAAAGTTGTATGTGAAGTGTTTAAACTATAACAATAGTTGTCCTTGGAGAATAAGAGCATCATTGCTTAAAAATGCAACAAAGTGGAAAATAACAAGAAGTGGGGGTAAGCATACATGTCTCAACCCAACAATTTTCCAAGATCATACAAAGTTAGATTCAGATTTGATTTGTTCATGCATCATTGGTAAGTTCTGCACAAAAAGTAAATGGGGTTAAGCGTTTTGACAATAAAGGGACTAACCAATTTTGTTTTGTTGTTTTGTAGGTATGGTTAATCTTGAACCATCATTGCCTATAAGTTTAATTTAAGAAAGAATGACAAGTCAATTTGGATATAAAATTTCATACAAGAAAGCTTGGAAGGCGAAACAAAAGGCGATAATAAGAATATTTGGTAACTGGGATGAATCATATGGTACATTGTCAAGATGGTTAGAGTACATGCAATTTCATGCTCCAGGGTCTGTTTATAAGATTGAAACGAAGCCTTTTGTTGTTGGACATCAGGAGGACAATAGATTTAGAGTATTTGAGCGATTATTTTGGTGTTTTCATCAATGCAAGGAAGCATTCAATTTTTGCAAGTCTATTGTTCAGGTGGATGGAACATTTTTGTATGGTAAGTATCGTCACACATTGTTGATTGCAACGACACAAGGTGGGAATAATTGTGTCCTACCACTTGCTTTTGCAATTGTTGAAGGAGAGACTTTGTCAACGTGGGAATGGTTTTTGGCAATGATTTGGGTGCACGTAACAACCAAGACAAGATTATGTTTAATATCTGATAGGCATCATAGCATCAAAAGTGTTGTTTCAAACCCACATATTGGATGATAACCTTATAATACATATCATGTTTATTGCATTCGTCATATAGCAAGTAATTTCAATCATAGATTCAAGATCATTGAAATGAAGAAGCAGCTGACGAAATTAGGTATAATGTCTCTATTTATTTGGAAGTTGTCCTCTTAACTTATTTTGATTTTAATTGTTTGCCAATGGTGGCTTAATTGTTATTTACAACATATTTACCTACCAAGATTGTATTCGAAGAGAAGTTGAGAAGACTTCACAATGAATCACCAGAAATACAAAGGTGGATTGACAACATTTCCAAGGAAAAATGGGCTTTGAGTCATTATGATGATGGACGTCGTTATGGGCACATGACTATGAATTTGTCAGAGGCTGTAAACAAAGTGTTGAAGGGAGTAAAAAACTTACCTATAATTGCTCTTATCAAATGCACTTATGGACACTTGGTTGAATATTTTGTAAAGCGTGGAGAGGAGGCTTTGAATGACCTGAACACTGGTAAGAGGTACTGTTCAAAACTGCTCCAGAAAATGCATACAAATCAAGAAGAAGCATCATCACATCAAGTGAGACGTTATGATATAGAAAGAACAAGATTTGAAGTTGAAGAGGCATTCAATCCTATCACACAAAGGGGCGGTAACAAATGGATTGTTGTTCTGTGTAGAAGATACTGTGAATGTGGAAGATTTTAAGCATATCAATTTCCATGCTCACATGTTATTGCTGCTTGTGCATCAGTAAGTATTGACTTTTGGCAATATGTTGATGATGCTTACTCCATAGAAAATGTCGTTAACGCATATTCATCACAGTGGTTCCCTTTGGGAAATGATAGTAATGTGCTCACACGAAGTGAGTGGAAGTTAGTTCCTGATGAGATGAGAATCAGAAGTAAAGGAAGACCAAAATCAACTCAAATTAGGAATGAAATGGATTGGATTGAGTCACAAAGTAGATCAAGATGTAGTCAATGTCATCAAATTGATCACAATAGACGTCAATGTACTTCTATTTCGCTTAACGAGTAGTATATCGAAGCTTCTCGTATTCACGTCAAATTGTGTATTAGGTTTATTTTCATATGAGTACGTCTATATTTATT